GTTGACGAGATATTTATTAATCATAAATAAACAATACAAATCTATCTGTTTTAATTTACAATATTACAGTTCAAGTATTATATTCTATAAAAATTGAGACATTTTTTTGTTCTCATGGCCAATATGTTTGAACCGAATAAAACGGCATTATGAACTGTTGGTTCGTATGAATGTCTTGCCTTTTTTTTTCCATCTTTAGTAACATGCAGAAGATGGGAAGTATTATCATCGATTACAAGCCATTCGTCATATTTGAGTGAACAAACAGGATATAACCGTAGCGCCAGATTATACTTTGTATCAAGTGAGAGTGACCAGAGTTTATCGAGTGTTGATGAAGACCGAAGTTCTATGCGCTTTGGTTTATCGTATCTCTCTTTTATTATTAAAGCAATTGTTTCATTATTGTAAGCAATGTTATAGATAGATTCGTCGTAGTTACAAGTTTGAGGAGATTTCCATTGTTTGATGAAATGAAACGACGATAAAAGATTGAATTGAAAAATGTCAGAAGTTGATGTATTTGTGGTTAGAAATAGAGATGCATTTGAGCATGTACAAGACAGCCACTGTTTTTTCTCGATTGTTTGAATGCATTCAATGGATGTTAGATTTTCGTTAATTAGAAAAACTCCATTTTTGTTTGTTATGATAATAAAACCATTTATAGTCGATGACCAACACATATTAGAAATGCGATCATATTCCCATGGAGTACGTTTTAAAAGAATCAATTCTTTATTAAACAAACATAAATTTGGATATTGATCTAATAGTAAAAAGTGATTATTGCTTGCCAGTGCCTGGCAATAATCGGTAGAACAATCGATTGATCGGTAAGGAGACGAAAGAGTTGATATATCAAATTCGTTCGATATTAAGTCTTCAATATAAACTAAATTTTGATTAATAATTAAAGGATGAATATCAAATAAAATACCATTGTCTTCAAATTGGTTAACGTCACGTTTGATATCATTAATAGTTGCTTTCAATGATGAAATATCGTCATATGTAACTTCTTGTTCTTGAATAAGTTCGTTTGTTTTTAATTTTAATTGATGAATTTTTTTTCGTTTTTGACTAGCTTGTTGAACACAACGTTGTTGAAGTTCTTGACATTTTTCTTCATAGTAATGATCGATTATATTATGACAATCATGACGCCATTTATCCAATTTTTGACGACATTTACCAATAATTTCATCAACATTTAATGCCGACAATTGATTATCAATATTATTAATTTCGTCAACAAGAGGATTTACTTGAGAATTGATTACATCATCATGTTCTTTTAAATGATCAGGACAAAGATTCTTACTACAACAATGACATAATGCTCGTGATTTACGCTTGCATATCTCAATATCACACGGTGGAGGCATTGTTTTATCAAGATAGTGATTTCGTTTTGCTAGCAGCTATGCATATATATAATGTTTCACATAAGCGAAAACTAAGTGAGGACGTCCGATATGACTGACCAGTCGGATATGCACATTAGCCGTCACATCAAGTGTGAAGTGTCGTTTAACTATGCTTGGACTAGTCCAGAACATGCTTACATTCATCACGTATAATCTATTTTATCTATTCATTTCGCTGTCCAGACTACTCAATGAGATGAAAAATGAATTCGAGTATATGATCCAATAATGTCTGACACTTGGCGACAAACTAAAATCTAATCATCAATTGAGATGAGCTTAAACATTCAAATAGTTAAGTGGTCTACTTGAGAAAATTTTGCCTACAATATGTTAGATAAACTGCATCAATTTTCTAAAACAAATGCCTGGATTTGCTCTTCAAGTCTTTGCTTTTGTAAAATCAATATCCTGTCTCGAAAGGTGAAAATTCCAACCAAATATATCTATTTGTAGTTTGAACATTTCTAAACTTGTCGACATTTTAATGAAAATGATACTTTTTATGAGCAAAAAATTATCAAAGATTTTCTAAGTATTTGAGAAAATGTCAATTCTGGTCAAGACTAGTCTAAAGTCTTTAAACAGATCATTTTATTTCGACTGAATTGCCCGAACAATTCGTTTAGACTCGTTCATATTCAAACCAAAAAGAATTCAAAAGTATTATAAAGAATTATTGACCATTTATGCCATGTTTTACAACAACTAAACCATATTGGAATGCTTTATGAATATCAATTGAATAGTAGATACAAGTCAACTAGTATTAGGAAGAGGGTGTGGGTGTTAGAGTCCGTCGGGTCCGGGTCTAAAGCAATTTTTGATGCATATGAGAATATTTTTCGAACTTTTACTGATCTTCAGTTTTCTCTGAAGAGCTAGTTGCTCTTGGTTGTTAGTGTTGAAAATAAAGTGTTTGTGTTCAATAGAACACGTTGCTTTGGTCTCAGACACCGACGAGATCAGGTCCGGGTAAGGTTCGGATTCAAAATTTTTCTATTTACCGGGTTCGGTTCTGAAATTTTTTTTAAAGACCGGTTACGGGTCAGGGTTCAAAAATGTTGTACCCGACAGGCTCTAGTGGGTGTGTGTATGCGCCTTCTCTCATACAACACTCACCCCCCCACACCCAAAATCATTAGAATGAGTGACGCTGTCTAAAAAGATTTATTTATGTTTAAACCAGTCGTAAGAATTCCGTTTCTAGCCGGCAATCCTTTAAAAGTATGTGCTTTTAACGCTAAAGTAAGTGCGCCATATACAGGAAACTATTTGATACTGTGTCATTACTTATAAGTTAAATTTATCATTCATTAAGAATTTAGAGTCTCTGTAAAAGTAAAAGAATAAGAACAAGTAATCAATAAAATTTTGAAAAAAATTTTCTATATCTTGTTCTAGTAAAGAATCAACAAAAGGAGAGATGAAGGATTGAAAGTACGCGTGTCATATTAATATTAACGCTTGAAAAAAAAACATCACTTTATGGAAATGATACCACTTGTCGTTCATTCATGCGTCCGTTTTAACGAACACATAATCATCCTGATAATGAGTATAATAAATTTAAATTCGCGGCCGTATTCCAACCCACATGTACAAGAATACACAATAGCATTGATTCGAATAATTATAAGTTAGCTAACTTTTAATTTCTTTTCGGTTCTCAATACACATATACACATACATACGTACACACACGCTCATTTATATTGACACTCTGACACTAACATCGACATCAATAATAATAGAATGCATAAATTCATCTATACGAAGAATAGAGGAAAAGAAGAGAAGAAAGGAGAAAGCTATATGAGAGGATAATATGTGTGATATTGTAGATCAGCACAACAACGATTATAATACGGTTTTTATCGACTTTTTTTGCAACATATGAATTATAACCATTCTCTGTACTGATCACTTGATAAATACAATACAACAAAAAAATCAAGCAGAAATCTTTAAAAAATTAGATTTTCAAAATACAATTTAGAGTGTTGGTAGGGATGTAGACTGGACACATTTTTGCAATCATATCCACTCATTGCCCTGTACTTCAAAACAAAAATTTCGAACTTTTTGAGAGATGATCCCTTCGACATTTGATCAGGGTGGCATGTGATGAGTTTCGATCGATTTTCTTCTGATAAAAGTTGTGTTCATTAGCTGTCGCTTCATTACAGAATCAGTACGCGCCTTGTTCAAAAGTCGTGACTTTTCTGAGCATACTCAAATCCGCTCAAGGGATGAAGAGTGTGGATGTGAGTACTTTCTAAAACAAATAGCTGTCATATGACTCCATGAAGGGTTTTAGCGGCAATGGTGACATTTTTAGGAGTTCATCTAATTATCAGTAAACCGTTCAGAGTTCTAGATAATTCAAAGAACCACTTCAAATGAACGATAATTTCAAATGTAAATAATAGTTCCGTGTCACACCAGTCTTTTTTCATGCTGAACTTTTTTTTCCCAAAGATGCTTCAAGAACAAATGACTTGTACTATTCTGAAAACAAACGGATACAAGACGAAACACCTATGATTCCTTTGAGCTCTCTTAGATTTTCAGCAAATCCTGAGAATATTGTTCGAATGCACGAAATGCCAATGAGTGTTTTGCCAGCTTTATTGTCTGCATATAAAAACCTATGTGCGTGTCACAGAAGTAAGATCTTCCTGATGAAATGCTCACACTGACTGTAACTGAAAGAGTTCGCACTAAACTATTTGATTTCCAGCGTTCCATAAGGACAAATAGTTGTTCATTAATTAGAAATATAGTCAACCTAAATCATTTCACTATTCGAGTATTGATCCTTTTGTTCACAACCGTTTTAGCATACTTAATTCGTGTATTCACACTTAGTTTTTTTTTCAAACCGAGCAACATGTAGAGACAGTAGAAAAAATATTGGTTATATCGCTATCAACATTTTGGCTAAATAATCGAATAACGATGTATATAAGAGTCACGACAGCTATATAAATGATCAAAATAGAAAATAAATCTAACAACACTTGAAAGAAAATATGATGAGATGGAAAACACCTATACTATCTCAAGAGAAGAAAAAGAAAAAAGACATATGTATATCGTACATGTCATTTAAATACAATACCTGAAATAACCAAGTTAAACTATAACAAAGAACCTGTTGTTTTACTAGGGTAGAGTCGTTTTTTGCAGGAATAAACATAAGGTCCGAGATAGCATCACGTTTATATAGAACCATTAATAGTTCAGAAAATGGCACCGAGAGGTAAAATCTTTTAAGGTTCAATATGACACCAATTTTTTTAGAGAGTATGAGTGTGCGTAGATCAATAGAAAATAAAATGATCTATCTCTTGACGAAGTAGACAAGTTTTATCTGCTAGTTTCAACTTTTTCTGTTCGGTAATCGACGACTAATAAAATAGTTAATCGACATGCTTGAATTCAAATCATAAAAGAAATGCAGAGCTAATTTCGCAGACGCGTTTCGTATTTTTTTACAAGGTAGCACTCTTCACGACTAGAGATTTCTATATCTTTTGGTAACTTATAATGAGTCTTCTTTTTCTTTTTTGAGTCGAGACCTATCGTGGTAGTTTCTACATGCAACACACCTTTTTTCACATAACCATAATATGATCAGTGAATTTGGTGATATAGACTATGTATTACCAGCAGGCTATAAATAGGATTTCTTCAAAAAAAAAAACAAATTATTTGAAGAATAATATACGAGTTGTAATCATTCGAGCTATTTGAGTTCATTTATAGTTTTCTCGAATATCATGCATTGACCAAACTTCTCCATCAATTCTACCAATCAGGTTTTCTAGTGGAAGTTCACAACCATGATAATCACTGTATCAATGAAAGTACTAAATATAGATACTAATTATTGTTCCTCCAATCGATCCAGTCATTGAAAAGTAATATGTACTCTATTGAATGCGAAATCTTTTATTTCTTGAGTCCCTTCATCAAATTGGTGTATTTGTTCATCTGAATTCTTGAAACGTATGCTTAGATGTGGGTGGATGTATTCTGTCGTCTCTTGAGGATATTGGCGTAAGTGACATTAAGACGTTCTCAGTCACAACGAAATCATTCTAGTACTCTAAGACTTTCAATGGATATTCAATGTCATGTAGATATAGGTTTCAATGGAGGTTTGAATCTTTTTTCTCCACACACATACGACACCCATGTTGTGTCAATATTAGCATTAGACTTCATTCCTGTAATTTATCCGTGCTTGCTTGTCATCGCCTCGTTATTCTTTTTTTCTTATTGAAACAAGAACTATTCACTTGCGTTATCAATTTTAGTTTGTCGGTAATTTTGGAGATAAGGAGAATTGGAAATAACCAATTCCCACCTATATAAGTTGGTATTAGACGCCTGCAAACTCATAGTTTTTGATACTCTACTGTTATGTAGCAAGATTTTCAGTAATACTATTTTCTTTTTCTAACTAATGAACACCATTGTATTACTCTTTCTATTTGTTAAAATGCAATTTTTTAATCATCTGTGCTTTTCGAATCTTTCTAAGAAATGACTCACTACGACGAAGCTATTGAAGTCAAAATTTTGGTAGTTTGAATGATGCATTGCTGTAGATTAGATTTTTTTGCGTATTACATCGTTTGCCTGCTTTATTTAAATGAACTATTTTGTTACTTTTGCAGCATGACAACGCTTTATAGTCCGTTTCTCTCTGTATTTTCTCTTTTTTTCTTTTTTTAAAATTCTTTTCAAGTATGCACTCTTGTTAGAAGAACTGCACATGGCAACAGTAAAACATATCGAGTAAGAGTAGATGACAAAGAAGCAAACAGAAATCACATTTGTGTCAAATAAATGCATTTTGTATGAATTACATTGATGGATATTCATCTTCGTATGATTTTAGGTGGTTGGGACCGTTCAAAAGTAGACAGTGACAAATAATAAGACAT